TCTTTCTTTCTTTCTTTCTTTCTTTCTTTCTTTCTTTCTTTCTTTCTTTCTTTCTTTCTTTCTTTCTTTCCTTCCTTCCTTCCTTCCTTCCTTCCTTCCTTCCTTCCTTCCTTCCTTCTTTCTTTCTTTCTTTCTTTCTTTCTTTCTTTCTTTCTTCCTTTCTTTTGGGGGAGAGGAGTTCTTTCTTTGTGATTTTTTAAGATGTAGCTCTTGTTTCCCAGGATGTATCTCTAGCTGTCCTGGAACTCACTATGTAGACCAGGATGGCCTCCAACTCACAGAGATTTATCTGTCTCTGCCTATCTCCCTAAGTTTATTTATTTATTTGTTATTGTACTAGAAATTGAGTCTAAGATCTTCTGTGTTATTTACACTCTATGAATTTATTTGTTATTGCACTTTGGATTGAGCTTAGGGAAATCTGTGTGATCAATGTTCTATGGATTTGTTTGTTTATATATTTGCCATTGTACTGAGATTGAGTCTAGAGTCTTCTGTGTGTTGAACAAGAAATTTTCCATAAAGCAGCAAGTAAAGAAAAGATGGCCTGAGTTCAAATAAAAAATTATCAAAGAGAGATGGATTGGGCAAAGGAAGTGGGTTTCTGAGCTACATGTTACTATGTTTTTGTTTATTCATATATTATTTTTCTTAAAATTTTATGATATCCATGATTTCATTAGGCTTAAGCATATATGGACCCACAGCTAACTGAAAAGTATATGTGATATCTGATTAGATATGGCAACAATCGAAACACCTGGAAAGTGAATTAGAGCTCCTAAAGCACATAAAGACTGTAGGTGATAAGAACTAGACAATAGAATATAAATAACAAAAGATGGCAGGAGAAGCAAATGTTACACAACCACAGAAGACCAAAGTACAGTGCGAAAGAAATAGTATAGTTAGAGAGAAATTCATATTTCATATTTAATTGAGCTATATTTAATTGCAGCTTCTTTCTCAGTAGCAAAAATAACACTTGAAAACCATATAATTATTTTTATCTAGGGAATTCTAATAAAATGAATGCAAATATTGATGTAATATGATCTATGTAACTATTTACTTAACCAATAAAACCATGCTGAAGGCTGGAAATAGGGACTGGTTTTGTTTCATAAAAGGATGATTTTTCTATTTCTTTTGGAAATCAATAAGGGCCATAGTATTAATAAATATAACTGGCACAAAGTAA